CTGCAGTATGTGAGCCTCTCACTGTTGTGGTCTCTCCCTTTGCGGAGCACAGGCTCCGGACGCACAGGCTCAGCGGCCATGGCTCACGGTCCCAGCTGATCCGTGGCATGTGGGATCTTCCCGGACCCGGGCACGAACCCGTGTCCTCTGCATCGGCAGGCGGACTCTCAACCACTGCGCCACAAGGGAAGCCTGATATCCTTCTAGTTTTGCATTTATATGTCACGATTGTGACTACACATTATATTTTTTATCTTTCTTTCAATTTGCATTATAGGACGAACAATGCCCCTGCCATTAAAATTATTTTGAAATAGTTGTTATAGACTAAAATAAGACAGACGCTAAATAAGAACAAGAGATCAGAACAAAACTAAGCTTTATCCTCTTATTAGAAATTTAGGCAGCTTGTAAATGTTTGCTTGCATTGTGCTTAATAAAAATGCACTAGGCTTATGGACTTCACAGGTGGCACAGTGGTTACGAATCCGCCTGCCAATACAGGAGACACGGGTTCGAGCCCTGGTCCGGGAAGATCCCACATGCCGTGGTGCACCACAACCCCCGTGTGCCTAGAGCCCGTGCTCTGCAACAAGAGAAGCCACCGCAAGGAGAAGCCCAGGCTCAGCAGCAAAGACCCAATGGAGCCATAAATAAATTTATATATTAAAAAAAATTCACGGGCTTAAATTCTTTTCTGTTTTTTGAAAGTAGTTCCATTAAACAAACAAAAAAACAACAAACAAAACCCTAAATAAATTACCTTTGCTCATTAACCGTAACACTATTTAAGCAAAGGGATCTGAGTACAGTAAAAAAAAAGAAATACTTGTTTAATCAATACAGTCCAACAACAACAAAATTTTTTTTCAGCATGACCTTCCTTCTCTGCTATTTTAAAAAATAATATAGTTTTAAAGAATAATATAGTTTTAAAGAATTAAGTTTGATTCATAATTCTTTTTTATAATTCAGGTTGATTCTAGCTGAAGGTTTCCCCTCACAATGTTAAAAACTGCATGAAAATACTAGTCAGTAAGAAAGTATTTGCACACTAAATCCCACAAAACCCTTACCTTGGCGATTTTTTCGTATTCGTTTTGCTTGAAGAATTTGCTTTTTGCACTCAGCAATTTTTTCATGTGCTCCAGCAATGCTACATTCTATATAAAAGGTTATTTTTTTTAAAGGTAGTTATAACAACATGTATAATCTCCACCCATTTTCAATTTTAAAATATGTTTTTAAATTAAGTTTCATTGCTAATAAAATACATGCTGGCATTTAAAAAACAGCTGTAACTCAAAGTATTACATATCATTTTAGAAAACATTCTTTCAATTAATGTAGTTATTATTATTTTACCACTAACCAAAGAAAAATGTTAGCAGATATTATTTCCCTTAGACCATAAAAATTACAATTACAGATAGAAACAACAATTAAGTTTCCTTACCTATTTCTTTGTAAATTTTTTCATAATTTTCCATTTCTCTGAGATTCATATCATATACCAGCAAAGTTTTGCCCATTGAAAATTCACATTGGGACAGTGTGCTCAGCATACGTTGGTACTGGCTGTATCTAACAAAAAAAAGAGAGAAAAAGAAAAAAGATTTTTGTGGATTTCCAGTTGAAGTATTATAATGCAGGCACAGATTTGCCAAGTAAATTATACCAGGTTCTGAGAGAATAATTTTCTTTATTTAAAAAAAATTCAGAATATCTGTCCCTTATGTTTTCTTTTTCCAAATGTGGTTAACTTGAATATATAAACTGTATCAGTTACAGATGCAAAGATGGGACTGTAGATCTTAGCAATATAAGCTTAATTCAAACAACTATTTGTTGAATTTTGTTTAAAATCCTTTTTAAAATGTTTTAAGATGGTTTTTATCTTCACAATTCTGTTCTCATAATTTTTTCACTCTATACAATTATTTATCTATGTGAAAAGCTAGTTCAAATGATGAAAAAAAATTTAAGTTAAAAAAATTATCAAAAATATAAAACTTTGCAGCAACTTTTATTAGTATGTTAAAAAAATTTTCATTTAGATATTTTGTCTTACTAAACACTCATCTACTTTAAAAAGTGACCAAAGTAATGAGTCTGAATTTCACCCTCATTTCTTAGCACTATGCCTTCCGCACATTTTTTTTTTTGCGGTACGCGGGCCTCTCACTGTTGTGGCCTCTCCCGTTGCAGAGCACAGGCTCCGGACGCGCAGGCTCAGCGGCCATGGCTCATGGGCCCAGCCGCCCCGCGGCATGTGGGATCTTCCCGGACCAGGGCACGAACCCGTGTCCCCTGCATCGGCAGGTGGACTCTCAACCACTGCACGACCAGGGAAGCCCATTCTGCACATTTTAATAAACATAAAGCAGGCCTCTGAAGAGCAGGCCAGAAAAGTCTACTCTGGATTAACAGAGTTCACTCCATTGGACATTTAAGGTGAGTGAAAATCTGAAATATTAACAGGACTGTATATATGGTCTAAAAAAATCACACCAGGACATTAGTATAGAAACAACAGCAAAATGAAATACCCCTCTTCCTGGGATCCAGAGTTGCACCATTTAATGAAACTTTTCACTAGCAGATTAATTCTCCGATCATCTCCAGCACCATCTCCATCAATTAGGAGACGCTTCCGTATGACTTCGTCTGGAGGAAAGAACAATGTGAATTAAAATGACTGTCTGGCTCTTGTTAACTTTCGGGGAAGATAACCAGTACCATTACGTATTCATTAACCCCCCCAAAATTATTGAAATGTAAATGTACTTAATGCCACTGTACATTTAAAATTGTTAAATTTTGTTAGGTTTTACTATCTCATATATATATATATATATATATATATAAATTTTTATGGTAAGTTATTAAGTGTTCGTGTCAGGCACTGTTTTAGGGGCTAGGGTTATAGCAGAAAAAAGCCTTGCCCTCACAGAACTGGCATTCTACTGCCGGATTGTTGAGTAGGAATAATTTTCGGGTACTACCAGGGAAATAAGCCAATAATTCTCGGAGAACTTTTTTTGAAAAACCTGTTCAGACAGAAGGAAGTCTAAAGCATTCATGTCTCTGACTAGTGTGAGGTACTGGTAAAAGGAAAACAAAGAAAAGATTTAAAAGATGTAGTGGCAGAATAGGAAAAGAGAATGAGATGAGACAGAGAAAAAGGAATAGTTTTTTTTGTTTGTTTGTTTGTTTGTTTGTGGTACGCGGGCCTCTCACTGCTGTGGCCTCCCCCGTTGCGGAGCACAGGCTCCGGACGCGCAGGCTCAGCGGCCATGGCTCACGGGCCCAGCCGCTCCGCGGCACGTGGGATCGTCCCGGACCGGGGCACGAACCCGTGTACCCTGCATCGGCAGGAGGACTCTCAACCACTGCAGCACCAGGGAAGCCTTGTTTTTTTTTTTTAAAGTGTAATTTTAAAAATAAATTTTATTTATTCATTTTTGGCTGCGTTGGGTCTTCGTTGCTGCACAAGGGCTTTCTCTAGCTGTGGCGAGCGCGGGCTACTACTCTTGGTTGCGGTGCGTGAGCTTCTCATTGCGGTGGCTTCTCTTGCTGCGGAGCACAGGCTCTAGGCGTGCGGGCTTCAGTACTTATGGCACACGGGCTCAGTAATTGTGGCTCACGGGCTATAGAGCGCAGGCTCAGTAGTTGTTGCGCACGGGCTTAGGTGCTCCGCGGCATGTGGGATCTTCCCGGACCAGGGCTCTGAACCCATGTCCCCTGCATTGGCAGGCAGATTCTTAACCACTGCACCACCAGGGAAGTCCCCCAAAAAGTGTAATTTAGTTATTACATCTGTAATGTTTCTTTCCCCATGAGGACTTTTTTTTTTTAATAAGTCTGTCTCACTTTTGTTCCAAGGAAAAGAAAAAAGAGAAAAAGGAATAGAAAAGCAGTGCACATGATAATGATGAGTAACAGGTGGGACCCCAAAGCGTCTGCCTGGCAGCCCTGACCTAGTGTTCTTCCTGGACAAGATATGCTGGATCATAACAAGAGAAACGCAAATTGAAACCACAATAAGGTATCACTTTCGTCTATCGTATTGGCAAAGATCAAAGACCTGATAATCAGTGATGGCAAAGGTGTTGAGAAATCGCACTTATGCACACTGATGGAATGCAAACTGTTACTCTTTGCAGGGCAGCTGGCCAATAATACAATATTCAAAACGCACATACCTTTCTGACCCCACATTATTCCAGTTCTAAGAATTCATCCGATAGATACATGTGCACGCATGCACAAAGATAAATGTAAAGGGACGTTCTTAACAGTGCTGCTTGTGGTAGAAAGATTGCAAACCTAAACACTCACCAGTAAGAGACTGGGTAAATTATGAAACATTCATTAAATGTAATGATATGCAACCAAAAGAATAGTGTGGATGTATATACTGATATCAAAAAAATCTCCTTAGATATGTTAAATAAAATGAAAACAAAACAGGTGCAGAGAAACAGTTTGCTGCCATTTGTGTAGAAAAGGAGGAGGCCATGTGTGTGTATGTGCGCCCATCACAAATGTTTGTGTATTCAGAGAATATCTTTGGAAGAATCCACAAGAAACTGGTAACAGTGGCTGTTTCTGGTGAGAGGGATTACAGATATAGGATGAGAAGGGATTTAATTTTTATATGACTTTGTAGGATTTCTTTGTTTTTTTACCATGTGCGTGCATCTAAAAAAAATAATTTTTAAAGTGTGAATAATTCCTGGAGAGCCTGCAGGATGAATACAGCAAAATCTTTAAACAATAGTTCCTGTGTGTAGGCAGAAGTATTTCTGAGCGCAGGTGCAACAGAGATAAACTTTGGAAGGCAGATGGCTCCAGTTTTAAAATCTATTCTGTGACATCAGATAAACATTTTTAGAATTAGGTATTGTTCTCAGAGTCATGGCTTTGACAGATGGTTCAAGCTACAGATTCAAGTGTTTTAATTTTACACTTTAAAATATAAACTAATGCTTTCCGTATTTAACCACCAACAATGTTATTTGAGGAGACTAAGGACAAAACACAGTCCCCGAAGAGATTAAAATGCAGAAAATGAAATTGATTTTCTAAAATCACAAATGTTTTAACTTTGTTAAAAGTAAACATTCAGTGGGTGAGCAATCCAGTGGCCAATTGAGGCTGTTTAGTTTCTTTTTGATCTTCTTATCTCTAATCTTCCAAGCCCCCAAGAAACCCCATCTTCCTCTCAGATACCCAGACACCCTACTTTATTGAGGACCAGGGATTTCAAATGTAAATGAATTCAGGGAATAGGGAGTAAGGAAATTGAGGAGTAAGTACCTAAAGGGGTAAGCTATTACCAGAGCTGGCTTTTCAAGAGATTTGTAAAGTTCAGTGACTAACTAAAAATGTTTCAATTACATTTTGTGATCTTATCAGCTGTATACTTAAGATCTGAGCACTTTTTATATATGTATGTAATATCCTAATTACAGAAATTTTTTTTTTTTTTTTTTGCTGTACGTGAGCCTCTCACTGTTGTGGCCTCTCCCGCTGCGGAGCACAGGCTCCGGACGCGCAGGCTCAGCGGCCATGGCTCACGGGCCCAGCCGCTCCGCGGCATGTGGGATCTTCCTGGACCGGGGCACGAACCCGCGTCCCCTGCATTGGCAGGCGGATTCTCAACCATTGTGCCACCAGGGAAGCCCATAATTACAGAAATTTTTGAAAAATGTTTAAAGCATTGTACAGGCCAAATAAACTTGGGAAAAAGGTTTGTCAGGGCCCATCCTATGTCTTGTTCATTCTGTTTGCTCTCCAGCCTCTCACACTGTGTCTTTACATTTCTGATGCTCAATAAAGATTTTAAAATTGGATTTGTGGTGCCTGCCTGGGACCATCTGCCCTCCAAAGAGTTTGTCTCAATAAAACACTAACAAGGACTAGCAGCAACCATCTTATTTTCAGGTCCATAGCAGAGATTTCCCTTCTTGTACAAAAGACATGAATATTTGATCAATGAGCAGATGTGTCCGTAGGTACCGGACTAAGTTCTGAGGACATGAAGTAAAGACTTGAGCTCCTTCACTCTAGTTGGAGAAGTAACACCCATATGAATACATACACATACGCGCGCGCGCGCACACACACACACAGAGGAGGCTAGGATTGTTAAATGAGTGACACACACAGCAAGATTAAGAG